AGAAAATAACCATCGAAAAGAAAGAAAACAAGCAGCAAAGAAAATTTAATAAAAAAAGGCGCAAAAGAAATTAATAAATTTAACTAAACAATTTATAATTTAAAATAAAGTATATAATTATTATCTTATACAAAACATATTATAAAATGTTTATAAACAAAATAATGACTAATATAAAATAATTTCAAATAGTCAATAAAAGGAAAATTTAATGGACGTGAAGATTTTACTTGCATAATAATTATATCCGGATATTAGGTCGACAAAGTTTAGTATCAGGACAATTGTTCGAATATTGGTACATTTTCGTGCTCTTTGAAATTTTGATTATTTTTTAATTAATTCCGCAACTTATTATATCTTTCATTTCTTAATAATAAATTTTGATATTTCAGCTTTCACGAATTGAAATATTTATATCATTAAATTTCATGTGCCTTTATAAAATTAAACAATCGTAATATTGCGCCGTTAAATGTCCGGCTACTGCGAAACATTTACTATAACCCTTTTGTGCCTGACTTTTTTCTAGGAATAATTTGCATCTAATAATTTGCATCTAATTCACGTCTCACTAAAAGTTTTTAGGGTTGCTGATGATGAATCTGTAGTCAAAATTTCAAAATTCAAAATAGCGAATCCATTATGGCGAACCAAAATGTAAATTTTTTTTTAATTTGAATAAAATTCATATTCCAGAGATTTTTGGTATCGCTGATTATGAATCTGTAGTCAAAATTTCAAAATTAAAAATGACAAATTTAATATGCATAGCGTGTAAAGTTCCATCCTGTCCCATTCCGTGCTACAAAAAATTCCACGAAATGTGAATAATATTGAGTCAACCTTTTTTATTTACATTTTATCAGCTATATTAGATATGACTATATTGAATTTGAAAATTTTAACTCTTGACTCATTATCAGCGACTTCAAATCCCTAAAAAATAAGTTTCACTCAAATCCAAAAAAATTTCACATTTTGGTCCGCCATATTGAAATTAAGTAGTAATTTTGTTTCATATAGCCCTTACATTGACCTTCAAAATGAAGGTCTTTCTAGGAAGAACTTTCTATCTTAATTTTTGTGGAATATAAATTTTTTTTTCACTTTTACCCTATTTTACGAGTATTTGACGAGATATGCAGATTGGAGGATGAAACTAACAAGGGTGTTGATTTTTGTGTGAAGAGTTTTATCTTTCCTCTTTAAAATCAATTCGAGAAGAAGTCGCTATCTTTATTTTTGTGGGAGGTATGAATTTTTAAAATTTTGGGACACATACTGGGTGCCCCACACATACAGGTGTCCTTTTCAAGGACCCACTCAAATATCTCAGAAACACTGCGTTAAATCAAAAAATACTTAAGACAAAAGTTGTTTAGCTTGAATTTAATAATTTAATAATTTTGAAATTTCCAAAGGTCGATAAATTCATAAAAGTTAGGGCACTATTATAGTAATATATTCTTGATAGTAAATAAAGTAAAAAAGTCTAATACTATTGTTTCTTTCGACGAATAGTTAGTGAGATATCGTAAGGTAAATGTTGGAAAAGTTACCAAGTTTTCCTTAAATATCTCAAAATACGTATATTAAGCAAATAAAAAAATGTTTCAAACAAAAGTTATTTAAATTATCTGGTAGAAAAAGATGATATAATAAAAAACTGGGATTTTCGTTTAAGAAAAATGATAATCAGTGAATATCTCGAAAGTGGCGCCATCTATAAACAAAATGTTATCGCTGTCTTTTGTCTCCCTTCAAGCTAAATAACAAGCTAAATAAATGGGATACCCTGTATGTCTCACCAGACACGAAAGGGTTAAATAACATGATAAACTTGGAGTTCCGGGATTTACTAATCATGTAGGGATGAGTCATATAATTAATATCTTATTTATCAGAAATTACTTCATGCGAGAATGACTTTAATATTGTTGCGCACGTCAATATCGTTGTGCAAGTGAAGAAGATAGTAATGGAAAACTTGCAGCAGTTTGTGCAGTTTATTTTGTATCATCTGTCTTTTTGGTTTTAAGGAACATAAAATAAATACAAAATTGTTCTCGTACATAATAGTGGAAGGTGTAGACTCATAACTGCACTGTATGTAGAACCGATTATTGGCTATGAGCGTTAGAGTCATGATACTGCGCATGTGTCGATCTTCGTGAGAGAACGAGCTTGTCGAAAAAAAGAGAATAAAAGGAGAGATTCTCTGTTGAGCGTCGAGAGAAAGAGTTGAGCATTCTCTGTCGAGCGTCGAAAGGTTTAAGTCGAATAGAGTCTTATCGAGAAAAGCTAATAAAGTTAGTCGAATTAACGAATCCGTTGAGATCGGAATTATGTATAAGTTTAATCGTGTTCGTGTTTAAATATATTTTATTGGTGAAAAGCTGAGCTATATAATACATTTCCTTTCTGGACTCCTTTCGCCGTGCGATACATCCTATTATGTCTTAGCTATACGAGAATCCTGATATCAATCCTTGAGCATCGATAATCTTCTAGAAAGGGACAACCTGACACCCCTTTCCTTGAGAGAGAAAAAAAGGAAGATCTTACAACAGTGTATGATTTCTGCACAAATGGGTATAAAATATTTATCTAATATTATAAAAAAAAAACATACTTTTGAGTAATTAAAATAATTAAAATTGAACAATTAAAATCAAAAGAATATTACGGTAATATTAAAATAATGTTATAGGTTCTACTAACAGCACAGAAGAAAACGAAGGTAATTAAAAAGAAGACAAGTTCTTTATAAACCGATTTGCCTGAAACTTCGGAATATTGTATCTTTTTATTTTATCTATTTTTTTATTTTTTTTACACCATTGGTATGACAGGTTTGCTATCCTCATAACTATCACTTCTTAGCAGTTTATAAACTTTTTTTTACTTAAGAACGATAATTTGAACATTCACATGCGCGATTTTCGTAATAAAACATATTTTGAAGTTTCAGGCAAATCGGTGAGCAAGACCGTAACAATTTTCCAGTATAATCGTAATACTGCAACAAGATTCATATAACTATTTACACAATTATATCAGTAAGCAATTTGAATCTGAGGATTCTTATAATAATTTATCGTAACGATTTATCACAGTGTCCCAAAGGCCCCAGAACAGCCAAATATCTCGAAAATAAAGCATTCCAAAGAAAAATATTTCGTATAAAAGTCGTAGAATATCAAGTGACGCACAGCAATATTAATATGACTTTAAATAATGCTGTCAAGGCCACATAAAGATCACTTTGAAATTTTTAAATAGAAACCCCCATTTTTTTATTATGTCATTTTTCCACTAATTAATTTGAACAACCTTTGCCTGAAACAATTTTCTATTTGCTTAATATTTTTCGAGGTATTTAAGGAAGACTTGGTAACTGTATTAATATTTAACTTACGATGTCTCTGTAACTATTTGTCAAAAGAAAAAGTTGGAGGTACTAGACTTTTTTATTCTATTTGATTCTATAACTTTTACATGAAATATTATGAAACAAATTCTAAAACTTTTGTATGAAATATTTTTCTCTAAAATGCTTTATTTTCCAGATATTTAACCATTTTAGGACTTTTGGGACATTCTGTATTATTGATCTAAATCAACTATTAAGTAAAGTAATACTAATTTAAACATAAAACAAATTAAAAATTCATTTAATAATATGTAAAAGTTGTAATAGTTAACCACTTAAATTCAGAGTTAAGCAAATTGAGTGTACATTGTAAATTATACAACAAATCACGTAAAATTATTTGCAAAGGTACAGCTGACTTCAATTTAATATTGCAAAGAATATTCTTTTCCTTAAAGACGAAAATAAAACAGTTCACACTGAAAGTGAGAAGCCTACAAGTACACATCAATCTACAGCCACACATCAGTCATCTACTACAATAAAAGCGGTCACAAAGGATACCTTAAAAGTGCTCACAAAGGATAATTTTACATTAATGTGGTTTTCATGGAAGAATGAATTTCTCACATACATGAAATCCATTGATCCAACAGAAAATAATAAAAAGAAATGGAGTATTATGCTTTTGAATCGCGTGGGTCCAATTGAACAAGAAATATGCAAAACTTTTACTTTTGACAATGATCATGAAAAAGAAGATATAAATATATTGTTTAACAAATTTGACTCCTATTGCGAATTTGAAAACAGGAAGAAACGTAATGATGAAGATATAGATATGTATGTGAATAACTTGAAGGTATATTCAATAAGTACTTTTTTGTTTATAAATCAATTAAAGGTTTCTCATTTAAATTCTAGATAATTAATTTTCTTATCAACTAGTAATATTTATTGCAAATTATACTATTTCTTACATCATAAAATATTATTAAAAGAGAACATTAATGTTTTCTTCATTTCTTCATAAGTAAAATCACATATGATGCAATATTTTGTTTTCTAGGTAATGGCATCAAAATATACAACCAATATAGATGAGGTAGTGAAGAAAAAAATTCTGGAAGGAATAGATATTGATAAATTTACGAATAATGCTAAGAGCTTGATTCCAAATTTCACGTTTTCATTAAACACAAAATCTTTAACTGTACAAGAAATTATTGATATACATTTATTATTGAATATATTTATTTGGATGAGATCTGAAAACATAAATTTCATAAAAACTCAAAAGATTGATGGTAATACAGTTAAAAATTGTGATATGTGCAGTTTTACACATGAAATAAATAAATGTCACGGTTTTGGTAAAAAATGTACTAATTGCGGTAATATGGACCACCATTGGAGCAAATGCCCATCTCAGTTTAAAATGAATTGCCAATGTTGTGGAGAAAGTCATTTCTATCGACAATGTCCTGCTTATATGAATGAATGTAGCAACTGCCATAAAACAAATCACTTTTACTGGAAGTGTAAATTTTTAAAAATGTAAACTGCAATTATTGTGGTTTACTACATATCGCGTTTAAACCTGCACGTTTTGCAATAAATATAATATGTATAAGATGCTACAAAAGAGGTCATGTTCCAGGAAATGTTAGAAAAAATAATACAAATTCCAACGCAATTTAAAGACATTATTTTTATTTTTATCTTTTTATGTTTTGTTGAATATATCTGTATATTCTATTTTAATCCAAGACAACATTAAACACTATTTATCTTATTTTTCCTTCCAGTTATTCGATTAATCTTTATTTTTTGTTGGGAGTAATTCGTTATAAGAAACTTGTTATGTTAAAATATGTTATATATCAATTATTCCATTAGTCTATAAATTATTTTATCTTTTATTAAACATATATTCTTACTTTGTAAGAAATTATTTTTTGTATCAATTTTTAATTCGTAAATATACTATTTGAAATTACATATTTACCAAATTATTGCTTTTTTTTATATTTAATCTTTATTTGAGGCTTATTCTTTTTATGTCTATCTTTATGTATTCATTTTTATTAATTTTATCTCTTATCTACTTATTCATTATATTTTTATATTATAGATTTTAACTAGATATAGTATTTTAAGTTAAACACTTAATATAGTTATACTATATTAAGTTATATACTTAATATAGTATAATAGTTTAACTACAAATTACAGTATTCTTTTATTTTTTTATTAACGTTTTTGCGTTAAATTCCCCGTTTTCTTCAATTCTAGCCATTATTACTAGTTTTTAGACTTTCGCGGCTATTGATACAATCAGAGTGCGTTTCTTCCGGATGAATACCGCGTCATAATTCAGCTTTGTGATGATGTTTCACAAAATTGCAGCTTGCATCATCAGGGCTAAGAGATCTGAGCTGCAATGTTTGCGAAACGTCGGCACAAAGCTGAATTACGTCGCGGTATCCATCCGGAAGAAACGCACTCTGATTCTAGCCATTATTTCTACAAAAGCAACAGGTCTTAATATTTATAGACGTAAGCGTAACAAGAGCGTACGTGCGTTCATAATCACAAGATATATGATTATATTTTACATATATTTTTTACTACTATTTTTTCTCTAATATGACCTTTTACATATAACCATATTTTTACTTTATGTCATCATTAAAAATCAGTGGAAATTATCATTTACGAAGTTTCTAACAACTGGAATATGTGTACATATACACACATATATCACCACACATGTAACAAAAGGACAAAGTTTTTGCTAAATAATTTGATTTAATTTTTTGAATTATATACAAGGTGCTAAATTTCAAACGTAACAGGTAAAAAATCTCGAAAACTATGAAAGATATTAAAAAAAGCTAAAACACGTGTTCCATGATTTCGAAGGGGAAAAAGAATGGCATTATCAGTTTTTTATTTGGAGGGCATTTTCAAGGTCAGTTGAAGGTCAACTTAATTTTTTTTAAATAGAAAGCCCAATTTTTTATTATATCTTCTTTTGCTACCAATTAATTTGAACAACTTTTATTGGAAACATTTTTCTATTTGCCTAATATTTTTTGAAATATTTAAGGAAATCTTGGTAACTTTTTCAACATTTAACTGACGATATCTCGCTAACTATTCGTCGAAAGAAAAAATAGTATTAAACTTTTTACTTTATTTACTTTCAAGAATATATTACTATAATAGTGCCCTAACTTTTATTAATTTAATAATTTTGAAATTTCCAAAGTCGATAAAGGTCTATTTTTTCTTTCGAACAGTTAGCGAGATATCGTAAGTTGAAAAAGTTACCGAGTTTTCCTTAAATATTTCAAAAAATATTAGGTAAATAAAAAAATGTTTCAGACAAAAGTTGTTAAAATTAATTGGCAGAAAAAGAAGATATAATAAAAAAAATGGGCTTTCTATTTTAAAAAATTAAGTTGACCTTAGAAAATGCCCTTCAATTAAAAAACTGATAATGCCATTCTTTTCCCCCTTCGAAAACCATGGAACACGTGTTTTAGCTCTTTTTAATATCTTTTATAGTTTTCGAGATTTTTTACCTGTTACGTTTGAAACTTAGCACCCTATATATGTAGAGATAAGATAAAATGTAATCATACAACATAATAAAAAGTGACAATAATAGCTTCTCTTCGCATTTACTCACACACTCTCTCGTTCTCTCTTCCTCTTTCATATACGATATCCTATTCGTTACGAGGAATTAATGGAGACATAAAGCAGATTAAATTTAACCTAAAAGTGCCATATTGTTTTGTGATATTGGCAATAATTATCGAGTTATTATAGAAATCTGATGAGATGCGTGCGCTGAAATATACACTGGGAGCACCGTATCGTGCTGCGTTAGGGGAAATACCTCTCCTCCAGCGGTCCCCACCTACTGCGCACTTTCTTCGCGCTTCCTTCTCTAGCTAGAGATCTTTAAGCCAGCGGCACACGGTGCTTGTTTTCGTGCTGGATTGCTTGCTGGATGAAAATACTGCGTTCTGATTGGTGCATTTCCATCCATCTTCGGAAATCAGAACCAATCAGAACGCAGTATTTTCATCCAGCAAGCAATCCAGCACGAAAACAAGCATCGTGTGCCGCTGGCTTTAGATTAGCCTGCAGCAGCGGGCAGCACCCATAGACATGGGAATATAGAGACAGAGCATAAGCCCGTAAGATAGGCGAGGGGAGTTGTGCTGAAATGCGGGGGCGACTGTGCCTAAGTTTCATTGGCTACAATAGTGCGCATATTCAGAGCATGTGATGCAACGACTTGGCTATCACTGGCAAATAGTAAATGTAACAAAATGATAAGAACTATTTGCACTGACAGTATTTTGCAGAGGTTATGCATGTGTCTTTTTTTTCATAATTTCACTCACACAAAACTTCATACACATCTATGTATGTATCAAATACTTACACACGGCACAACCACCAATTAGATTTAGGCAGTTTACCTTGTCGCACCGTCCCACAATGGTTATCCCCCCGTAACTATATGCTCTGTCCCTATATTCCTATCTAAGGAAAGTGTTCGCCTCCATGGCGGCTGGATGTTGTTCTTGTAACTACGCATATTTTTTGATCGTGGGGACTGCGTACGCATCGTCCCTGTTTTTCTTTCTACTTCGTACTGCTAAGAAATGGCGTACAGACGTTGCTGAATGCAGTCCGGAGCCATATATTGAACTGAACTGAACTGAACTATATTCCTATGTCTATTGGTCTGTTCTTTGTAGCTGCACTGCTGAACTGGTGCAATAAGCTAGAGTGAGAAAACCTATATTTGTCTCACTTTAACTTATTGCACCAGTTCAACAGTGCAGCTACAAAGAACAGACCATATAGCAGCACCGCCTGCGCTCACGACACTCCGGCGTAATCGAGGTACCAGGAGCAGCAAGCGAAAGCGGGAAATTTATATAAAAACGGATAACACAAAGAATCGACATGAGAAAAAGGCGAACAGACGAATATAAAGAGAGCTAGAATAGCCGTGTCGAGTTAAATAAAGCTAGTCGAGAAGATTTTTGTCGAGGCGAGATAAGAAAGAATAGAATAGATTCGGAGAAATCGAGAGAGAAAGAAATGAGGCGAGCGAGAGGTAAAGTCGGGCGAGGCGAGAGAAAATCTTCCTGCAGCAGTCAAATGCGAGTCGTTAGCGTTAAAACACTATGTAAGATTGTCGGATAATTTTGTTGAACGTATTAAGCGTCGGATCTTTCTTCGTTTAATTGTTTATCGCAAATATGAGCGTGTACTTTGTTCTGTAAGTGTTAAATATACGTGTTTGAGCTTTGGTGAAAACTTTTTTTATTCACCACCTTATTATAAACATTTTAAAAGACATTTATTTTAAGCGGAGAAAGAACAGTTAAAACGCGAAAGCCATTCAGACAATTAACTTTATTGTTTTATCAGAAATGGCACAAATTCTAAGAGGTTTTTCAGTATTTATACATTAGAGTGAGGAAAAATATAGTGGTCTCATTCTAACTTACCGCACTAGTTCTCATCAGTGCAGCTAAAAAAAAAATAGATTATACAGTTCCGCAATTCACTGGTTATTCAAGGATATCTGACAGGTATCTAATCGGTATCGGTATATGACATCCTCGAGTCGGTACTTATAAATAAGCGGAGAGAAGTTCACGCGTCATTATGTTGTGTACGTAAAGAAGATAGCAACGAAGAACTTGAAGTAGTTTGTGGAGTTTTTATATTTTGTATCATCTGTCATTTTTAGCTTTGAGGAACATACAGAATTATTCTTGTAGATAAGAGCGCGTGATTTCTACAAAAATGGGTATGGACTACTTGTATAATATTATAAGAAAGGAAACGTTTATTTAATATCGTAAAAAAACAAATACCATCAAGCAATTAGAAATTAATAATTAAAATTAGAATAGTATTACAGGTTCTAGTAGCAGCAAGCAAGGAAAGAATAATTATCCTGATGGGGGTTCATTTAAAAAAATATCAAAGCCAGATGCATACAACCATTTATACAACCATGTCAGTCAACAATATGAATTTAAGGATTCTTATAATCATTTATCATATAATGATTTTTCCAAATCAACTGTCAAACCAAGTAGTACTAGTTTAAACAAACATTCACATTCAATAATATGTAAGGATTGTAATAGTAGCCACATAAATTCAAACTTGGGTAAACTGAGTGCACACTGTAAACTATATAATGAATCATCTCAAACTAATCGCAAAGGTAGAATTGTTCAATCCAATGCAAAAGATATCCTCTTTTATAAAGGAGGAAATGATTTTGAAAACAACACTTTGAAAACAATTTCCACTGAAAGTGAGAAGTCTATAAGTACGTATCAGTCACCCTTAAAAGTGCTCACAAAGGAAAACAAAACTTTGGAAACAGTTTCCAGTCAAAGTGAGAAGTTAATAAGTACGCATCAGTCACCAGAGGTCCAATCCAATGCAAAGGACAGTTACTTTTATAAAGAAGCAAACGATTTTGAAGACAAAACAGTTTGCAAGCCAAGTAATACTAGTTTAAACAAATATTCACATTCAATAATATGTAAGGATTGTAATAGTAGCCACATAAATTCAAACTTGGGTAAACTGAGTGCACACTGTAAACTATATAATGAATCATCTCAAACTAATCGCAGAGGTACAATTGATGTTCAATCCAATGCTAAAGATATTCTCTTTTATGAGGGAGAAAACAATTTTGAAAACAACACTTTGAAAACAATTTCCACCGAAAGTGAGAAGTCTATAAGTATACATCAATCACCCTTAAAAGTGCTCACAAAGGAAAACAAAACTTTGGAAACAGTTTCCAGTCAAAGTGAGAAGTTAATAAGTACGCATCAGTCACCAGAGGTCCAATCCAATGCAAAGGACAGTTACTTTTATAAAGAAGCAAACGATTTTGAAGACAAAACAGTTTGCAAGCCAAGTAATACTAATTTAAACAAACATTCACATTCAATAATATGTAAGGATTGTAATAGTAGCCACATAAATTCAAACTTGGGTAAACTGAGTGCACACTGTAAACTATATAATGAATCATCTCAAACTAATCGCAGAGGTACAATTGATGTTCAATCCAATGCTAAAGATATTCTCTTTTATGAGGGAGAAAACAATTTTGAAAACAACACTTTGAAAAGAGTTTTCACTGAAAGTGAGAAGTCTATAAGTACGTATCAGTCACCCTTAAAAGTGCTCACAAAGGAAAACAAAACTTTGGAAACAGTTTCCAGTCAAAGTGAGAAGTTAATAAGTACGCATCAGTCACCAGAGGTCCAATCCAATGCAAAGGACAGTTACTTTTATAAAGAAGCAAACGATTTTGAAGACAAAACAGTTTGCAAGCCAAGTAATACTAGTTTAAACAAATATTCACATTCAATAATATGTAAGGATTGTAATAGTAGCCACATAAATTCAAACTTGGGTAAACTGAGTGCACACTGTAAACTATATAATGAATCATCTCAAACTAATCGCAGAGGTACAATTGATGTTCAATCCAATACTAAAGATATTCTCTTTTATGAGGGAGAAAACAATTTTGAAAACAACACTTTTAAAAGAGTTTTCACTGAAAGTGAGAAGTCTATAAGTACGTATCAGTCACCCTTAAAAGTGCTCACAAAGGATAATTTTGCATTAATGTGGTTTTCATGGAAGAATGAATTTCTCACATACATGAAATCTGCTGATCAAGCAGAAAACGATAAAGAGAAGTGGGGTATGATGCTTTTGAATCGTGTGGGTCCAATTGGACAAGAAATATACAGAACTTTTACTTTTGATAATGATCATGAAAAAGAAGACATAAATATATTGTTGAACAAATTTGATCACTATTGTGCGTTTGAAAACAGGAAAAAAAGTACTGATGAAGATATAGACATATATATGAATAACTTAAAGGTATATTTAATAAGTATATTTTGTTTATAGGTCAATTAAAGACTTTCTTTTGAATCGCAGATGATAAATTTTTTTTATCAATTAGTAATGTTTATTGCAAATTATACTATCTTTTATATCATAAAATATTATGGCAACAGAACATTAATATCTTCTCTATTTCTTCATGAATAAAATCACATATGGTGCAATATTTTGTTTTCTAGGTAATGGCATTGCAATATACAAGCAATGTAGATGAGATAGTGAAGAAAAAAATTCTGGAAGGAATAGATATTGATAAATTTACGAACAATGCCAGGAACTTGATTCCAAATTTCACATTTTCAGTATATATAAAATCTTTAACTGTACAAGAAATTACATGTATTTGGATGAGATCTGAGAATATAAATTTTGTGAAAACTGAAAAAATTGATGGTAACTTAGTAAAGAACTGTAGCAAGTGCAGTTTTACACATAAAATAAATAAATGTCATGCTTGTGGTAAATATTGTAGTGAATGTGGTGACATGGACCACCACTGGAAGAGATGCCCATCTAACTTTAAAAATAATTGCCCATATTGCGGAGAAAGTCATTTCTATCGAGAATGTCTTGCTTATATGAATGAATGTAGCAGATGTCATAGACCAAATCACTTTTATTGGAAATGTGGATTTGTAAAAAAAGTTTTAAAGTGCAGGCATTGTGATACATTACATATTGCATCTACATCTGCATGTCCTGCAATAAATAATGTATGTGTGGAATGTGGTAAAAGAGGTCATTTTTCATCAAAATGTGGGGAAAATATATTCTATAATAAAGTATTCTATAATAAAAATGAAAAAAAATAAAAAAATAAAAAAAATAATAAAAATATCTAATATTCTACATATAAATTCTAATGCAATTTAAGGATATTATTTTTATTTTTTCTTATCTTTTATGTTTCGTTGAATATATCTATATCTTGTATTCTAATCCAAAACAACATTAAAAACTATATACCTTATCTTTCCTTGCTGTTATTCGATTATCCCTTATCTTTTATTAGACATAATTCTTTATAAAAAAAGTATGGTAATTATACAGAAGACCCTCCTCATCTCCAATATCGACGAAAAAATACTTAATCGACGCATTTTTACAAGAGAAACAACTTTTCTATTTGAAAAAATCGTCGCTCTGCCTTGTAGAGCGACATATAAATTGTTAAAGTTGATGACAATTTAGGTTAGGAAATCTGTCACGAAGGTGACAGATAAGCAAGATTCTGCATGGGTTTGTAACTTTCCACGCGCAACTAGGACGGAAAGGCTGTAGGGGCTGAAGGCTCCCTTTCCTCCTTTCGTTCCTCCTTTCTTTCAATTCTAGCTATTACAAGTATTGCTACAAGAGCAACAGGTCTTAATATTTATAATCATAAGCAAAAATGTGTACATAATTATAAAATAATTACAAAATATGAGATTGTATATTATATAGAATGAGGTTTTTTTATTACTATTGTTTCTCTAATATGCCCTTTTACATATAATCATAAAATGTCAAATCAAATAAATATTTCTACTTTGTGTCATTAAAAATTCTTGAATTAATGGAAATTATTATTTATAAAGTTTCTAACGATTGGAATATATGTATGTGAACACAAGTATGTAACATATGTATGTAACAAATATAGAACATATATATGTAACAAAAGAACAGTTTTTACTAGATTATTCAATTTAATTTTTAGAATTATATGTATATAGAGATAAGATAAAATGTAATCATACAACACAATAAAAAATGACAATATATAGCTTCTCTTCTCGTTCATTCGCTCTCTCGCTCACTCACTCTCTCTCTCTCTCTCTCTCTCTCTCTCTCCCTCTCTCTCTCTCTCTCTCTCTCTCTCTCTCTCTCTCTCATATACAGGATATCCTACTCGCTATGAGGAATTCATGAAAACATAGAGCAGATTAAAATAAACATAAAAGTCCCATACCGTTTTGCGATATTGGCAATAATTATCGAGTTATTAATTCTAGAAATCTGATGAGGTGCGTGCGCTGAAATGGATAATTGCCGGAGCGAGCAACCACTCCAATCATCGCGCGACGCAGTCGATCCAACAACTGTTTCCGGCGCGCAGCGTAGAAGAGGACAATATTGGTCTGTTCTTTTTAGCTGCACTACTGAACTGGTGCAATAAGTTTAAGTGGGTCTATTCTTTTTAGCTGCACTGCTGAATTGGTGCAATAAGTTGAAGTGAGAAAAAATATAGTTGTCTCATTCTAACTTTCTGCACTAATTTAGCAATTAGCACAAATTTAGTAAAAAGGACAGACTAAATGAGAAAAAATATAGTTGTCCCATTCTAACTTATTGCACTAATTCTGCAGTGCAGCTAAAAAGAACAGACCATATGACGCTAGTCGCGTTTAAGCCAGTGGCACACGGTGCTTGTTTTCGTGCTGGATTGCTTGCTGGATGAAAATACTGCGTTCTGATTGGTTTTGATTTCCGAAGATGGATAGAAATGCACCAATCAGAACACAGTATTTTCATCCAGCAAGCAATCCAGCACGAAAACAAGCACCGTGTGCCGCTGGCTTTACTCGTCGTTCTTAAGGCCAGTCCAGAATAGGCTGCAAACACCCAAAGTGCTTCCGAAATGTCTAGACCATCGTGAAGTTAGCAGACAAATTGAAGATCTTCTAATTTTTTTTTGTATCATTTGAGAATCATTTAGGGAAGTTTAGGAACATAGTCTCATAGTTTGGGAAATAATAGTTTATTAGTAATTAATAAAAATTAATTAAGCGTTAAGTTAGCAGACATAATAAAAGAAAAAATTTTTTTTTAATTTTGAATTAACGTAAAATTATTTGGGAAACACGTCTGTAATGTTTTTAACGTTTGGAAAATAATAAGTTTTCATAATAATTGTTTTTATAATATAATTTAATATAATAATTTAAATTTAATATAAATTTAATATAAATATAATATAATATAATATAATACAATATAATTGTTTTTATTGAAAACAAAGATTACATATGATACATTTCCGAAGATGGGTGGAAATGCACCAAACAGAACGCAGTATTTTCATCCAGCAAGCAATCCAGCACACAAACAAGCACCGTCTGCCGTTGGCTTAACGTTCAGCCAAATATTTAATTTCCTACCCAATGCTTATCTTCACTCCAAAAAGAAAGTCTTTTTTGACGTTAAATATTTAAGCTGTGTGCACATAAAAATGGATCGAATAGATTATTTCTCTTTGTGTCTGGAAAAATATATAATCAGATATATATTATCAGACAGATTGAGATTGAGTCTAGCAGTGGTGCGATTCTGTAACTCGTTATTGGAGTTAACGACAGTTTCGTTATTGTTGCGCAGCTTTTCTACGGTATACAAAAGCTGCGCAACGATAACGAAAATGTCGTTAACTCCAATAAAGAGTTACAGAATCGCACCACAGGCCTATTAATTCAACAGTGCAGCTAAAAAAACAGATCATAAGGCCTGTTCGTTTTATCTGCACTGCTGAACTGGTGCAACAAGTTGAAGTGAGAAAACCTATGTTTGTCTCACTTTAACTTAATGCACTACTTCAGCAGTGCATACAAAACGAACAGGCCTGTAGAGTTCGGGGATTCACTGGTTTACCGTATCGCATCGTTCGGTATCATATGACACTTGTGTCGGTACTTATCAGAAATAAGCAGAAAGTTTCATGCGTCATTATATTGTGTACGTGGAGAAGATAGCAACGAAAAACTTGGAATAGTTTGTGAAGTTTTTATATTTTGTATCATTTATCATTTCTTGCTTTGAGGAACATACGAAAGTTGATACAAAATTGCTCATATAGATAAGAGCGCGTGATTTCTACAAAAATGGGTATGAACTACTTATATAATATTATAAGAAAACATTTATTTAATATTGTAAAAAAATAGAAATACTATCAAGCAATTAGAGTTGAATTAAAATTATAATAATATTACAGGTTCTAATAGTAGCAAGCAAGAAAAGAATAATTGTCCTGATAGGAATCCATTTAAAAAAATATCAAAGACAGATGCAAACTTTGAATATAATTTTCCAAAGTATAACAGTAATACTGCAATGGTCCAAGATCCACATAATTATTTACACAAGCATGTCAGTAAACAATATGTATCTAAGAATTCTTCTAATCATTTACCATATAATGATTTTTCCAAATCAACTATCAAGCCAAGTAGTGCTAGTTTAAATAAACATTCACATTCAATAATATGTAAGGATTGTCAAAGTAGCCACATAAATTCAGACTTGGGTAAATTGAGTGTACACTGTAAACTGTATAACAAATCATCTCAAACTAATCGCAAAGATACAGTTGATGTTCAGTCTAATGCAAAGAATATTCTCCTTCATACGGGAGAAAACAATTTTGAAAACAAAACAGTTCGCACTGAAAGTAAGAAATCTATAAGTATGCACCACTCACCATTAAAAGTACTCACAAAGGATAATTTTGCATTAATGTGGTTTTCATGGAAGAATGAATTTCTCACATACATGAAATCTGCTGATCAAGCAGAAAACAATAAAGAAAAGTGGGGTATGATGCTTTTGAATCGTGTGGGTCCAATTGGACAAGAAATATACAGAACTTTTACTTTTGACAATGATTATTCAAAAGAAGACATAAATATATTGTTGAACAAATTTGATCACTATTGTGCATTTGAAAACAGGAAAAAAAGTACTGATGAAGATATAGACATATATGTGAATAACTTAAAGGTATATTTAATAAGTATATTTTGTTTATAGGTCAATTAAAGACTTTCTTTTGAATTGCAGATGATTAATTTTTTTTATCAATTAGTAATGTTTATTGCAAATTATACTATCTTTTACATCATAAAATATTATGGCAACAGAACATTAATATCTTCTCTATTTCTTCATGAGTAAAATCACATATGGTGCAATATTTTGTTTTCTAGGTAATGGCATTGCAATATACAAGCAATGTAGATGAGATAGTGAAGAAAAAAATTCTGGAAGACATAGATATTGTTAAATTTACGAATAATGCCAAGAGCTTGATTCCAAATTTCATATTTTCATCATACATAAAATCTTTAACTGTACAAGAAATTACATATATTTGGATGAGATCTGAGAATATAAATTTTGTGAAAACTGAAAAGATTGATGGTAATTTGGTAAAGAATTGTGGCAAATGCAGTTTAACACATATAATAAGTAAATGTCCCGCTTCTGGTAAACAATGTAATAATTGTGGTAACATGAACCACCATCGGAACAGATGTCCATTTAACTTTAAAAATAATTGCCTATATTGTGGAGAAAGTCACTTCCATCGACAATGTCCTGCTTATATGAATGAATGTAGCAAATGTCATAGACCAAATCACTTTTATTGGAAATGTCGAATTGTAAAAATTTTAAACTGCAATTATTGTGGTTTAACACATATCACATCTAGATCTACATGTCCTGCATTAAATACTGTATGTGTGAAATGCTACAAAAGAGGTCATGTTCCAGGAAAATGTTGGAAAAAATAATGCAAATTCCAACACAATTTAAGGGTATTATTGTTATTTATATCTTATTTTTTTATGTTTTGTTGAATATATTTGTATATTCTATATTAATTCAAGACAACATCAAACACTATATATCTTGATCTTACTTTCAGTTATTCAATTAATCCTTATTTTTTATTAGATGTAATTTATTATAACCCAGCAAACACAATGTTACATGTAACGTGCATGTTAGTTGTAATTTCCTACTCAACAATATAACAGTTATATTGTTGAGTAGGAAATTACAACTAACATGCACGTTACATGTAACATTGTGTTTGCTAGGAAGAAACTATTTCATGTATCAATTATTCCATTAGTTCTTTCATCATTAGAAGTATTTTACAAGTTGTATTTTATCTTTTATTAGACATAAATTCTTACTTCGTAAGAAATTACTTTCTGTATCAATTTTTAATTGGTAACTGTACTATTTGAAATTACATGTTTACAAAATTATTGCTTTTCTTTACATTTAACCTTGTTTAAGACATTTTTTTTGTGTCTACCTTTATGTATTCATTTTTATTTATTTTATCTTTTATTTACTTATTCACTATATTTTTATATTATAGATTTTAACTAAAAAGTTAATAATTTGGTAGTTTTTTTATTTTCATTTATTAATATATTTGTGTTAGGTTCCATGTTTGCTTCAGTTCTAGCCATTATAAGTATTTCTACAAGAACAACAGGTCTTAATACTCATAAGTGTAAGTGAGCCCATAATTACCAGATAATTACAAGATAAGGATTATATATTATATAGAATGAAATTTTTTTATTACTATTCTCTAATATACCCCTTTTTATATATAATCATATTTCTACTTTGTATCATTAAAAATTCTTAAATTAATGGAAATTATCATTTATGAAGTTTCTAACGACTGGAATATATGTATATGAACACATATTATACATGTAATAATATTAAACATGTAATTATACATATAATAATAAAAGGATAGTTTTTACTAGATCATTTGATTTAGTTTTTAGAATTATATGTATGTAGAGATAAGATAAAATGTAATCGTACAACACAATAAAAAGCGACAATAATAGTGCAAGATATGACGCCAGCATTTACCTCTTGTAGGTCCTTTGTGGTACTCTTAAACGCACAGTGAACGCTACAGTAGCGCCCCACACCATTATACAGAGTGTCATAAAAATACCGGAACCCCCGGATAACTTTGTAGGATCAAGTTTTCATGAAAATCTTTAAATACAAAAGTTGTAGAAAATCGAGTAACGGACTTGATAGTGACCTTGAATTTGATCTTGGCTATAATCTTCAAGGTCATTTGGAGGTCAACTTGCGTTTTTTAAATGGGAACCCTTATTTTTTATTAAACTGTTTTTTTCTACCAATTAATTTGAACAACTTTTGTTTAAAACATTTTTTCATTTGCCTAATATTTTTTTAGATATTTGACGAAAACTTGATAACTTTTTCAATATTTAACTTACGATATCTCACTAACTATTTGTCGGAAGAAAAAGTCGCCTTGACTTTTGTTAACTTACTGATTTTTGGAAATTTCAAAATAATCAAATTAACAAAAATCAAGGCGCAATTGTAACAATATTGTAAGATACAGACGAGGGAGGACAGCACTAGTCTATTCCGGGGGGGAGCCACGGGAGAAAGACCGGTCCTAAGAGATCAGATTCGACGGATGGAGAAAAGGATAAAAGGAGACGCACGGAGAAAGACGGAGCTTTTTGCCTTTGGCTTTTCGCCTTTAGCTTTTTGCCAATTAACGTCGAGACGAATAATAGAAATTAGAGTCAAGTCGAAGAAAGAGTCGTAGAGCGTTAAGCTTTGTAAAGAGATATATTTGATATAAGTTGCGGTGTCGGATACTATTGTATTATTGTTCATTTAAAATATACATACTTATATTCTTGTTCATAATAAGAAGAGTTCACATTAATCGCTCGGAACCTTAACATCCTGAACATCCCTCTTTTACAAACTAAGGAAGAGGATCAAGAAGAAGAGAGACAGAAAGATAATAGAATAGAGAAATAGACGATCTCTCTTTTTTTTAAATCTTACAATATATTCTTGAGACTAAATAAAGCAAAAAAGTTTAGTACCACTTTTTCTTCTGACAAATAATTAGCGGGATATTGTAAGTTAAATATTGAATAAGTTATCAAGTTTTCCTCAAATATCTCAAAAAATATTAGACAAAAAAAATTTTTAGACAAAAGTTGTTCAAATTAATTAGCAGAAAAAAGCAGTGTATTAAAAAATGGAGGTTCCCGATTGAGAAACGCAAGTTGACCTTCAAATAACCTTAAAAATAGAAGTCAAGGTCAAAGTCAAAATCATCGTAAAATAGCACACTTAAATCCCTACAACTTTTATTGAGGTCATTTTCCTTGAAACCTCAGTATTGAAGAGTTATTAATATGGTCCGTTACTTTTGGGCCTCCCTGTATATATATATATTAGGTGCGCAACCAAGTTTCCGGGCTTTTTTGATCAATGAAAAATGGAAAATTTCAAGAGAAATATAAAAAATGGTTCTGATGTGAACCAGTGTTGTATTTGTCTGCCCCAGTCTATCCTAGTTCAGTTCAGTACAGTTCTAGTGCAGTTTACGTGCTTCGAAAAAGAACAAATCAGATATACTATGTCTATGGACAGGACAGAGCAGGTCAATGATCACGTAACTTTTCCCCTAGAGTGAAAAGTGAAAAATTTCTCATGAAGTCGCCCAGACAATACAAAATACTCCAAAATATCATGTGTGTGTCTAAAAGACATTTAAAAAGAGATAGAACGTCATTTAGATGTTCTTAAAACATCTTTTTGTAATTTTATGTTGTTTAGCCGTGATCATACAACTAGGGAAAACATGGAAACATAAACTTTTCACCAACTTTTCATGTCAACTTTTCGTCATTAACTTGTTAGCGGAAAAGTAAAAATCTAGTGACACGACGAATACGGAATATAATATTATTACTACTGCGTTGAAAATTAGTCGATCGCGAGCGCATTAGTTTTCCTGTCTTCGCACGAATTGCATTATATTAGTATTCTTATTAGTATTTATTATGACTGCAGCATGGTGGCTATTTCGAGTTGCAAACGAAGAAGAAGGAAGAAGAAATTTAAGGATACAAACGAGAATTTTATGCAATATGTCTAATCCTTTTGAAATATTGGAGAGTCAATTTATTCTTTTATATCGATAAGTAAACTGCAGTAAATAATAAATTTAAATAAAACATTACACACGTTATTGTAAATAGTATTAAAAAATATATAAAAATTTATAAAATATGAATGAATATGAATATTTGTGGACCACCACTAATTTTTCACTTTTCACTTTTCGCTCTAGGGAAAAAGTTACGTGATCGATACCCAGAGCAAAAGCAGCCATAGAATATATTAGTATAGATGGGGATATGCTCTGCTCTCTCGGATCCAACACTGAAAATATATAATATACGTGACACAAACTATGTATTTTCAGTACTCGCAGTAAATGTCGGAACGCAGCCTAAGCTTTATTTTTTTTCTAGACACCCTAGAAATTCTCTATCTGATAGCCGATCGGAACATCCGACAAGCTCGTCATGCGACGCATGTAATATTAGCCTAATGCCGTTGGTTATATTTTCACAGAAGATTGGCTATCTCTCAACGAAATATCCAGAGAGATAGTTTAAACATTTCGTTGGTACTCCTCAGTGATGCGAATGCATCGTGGTCACAAATAGTTCTTTCAAAAAAGTCAAGATGTCGAAGAGAGGTGAGCTTACGTTTACATCTAAGAAAAATCCAAAGAGATCGGCGCTGAGATCATACATTAGCTTTGAACGAAACGATGAAAAGGAAAGAAATCCATTTAACTTGCGTCACGAAATCATCTTTATTATATTAAAAACAATTATCATAGAAGGATGGTTATGTCAATGTCATTGTTCTAACACATTGTTTTTTCCAGGACGTGGTGGCTCGGCTGGAGCCAAATTCAGGATATCCCTCGGTCTACCGGTAGGTGCGGTGATTAATTGCGCAGACAATACCGGTAAGCCTGAAAAGAAAATAAAAATTATTTAACCTCAATAGGAATGACCGCGCAAACAAAGCACATGGCGAATCGTCGTGGACGTGATATTTCGCTATCGTTTCGTGTATCCCCACTTGTCATTCGACTTACCGATCATTTCAGTTAAACTGTAAATTGGAGCATACTTGTGGAAAATTATCTCTAATCGAGTCAACAAGTAAAGACTATAATTATCGTTTATAATATAAAAAAAAATTTCTTTACATAATATATACACATTTATATCTTTGTTATTTATCAATAATTTATAACATTCTTATCTGTTTCGGTTATACTAAAAAAACTTGCGACATAAAATACCTTGGATATGAAGCATATGGCTTATGCAACCATTGTTTTTTTTATAAATTGTGCACCATGTACAGGAAAGTAAAATAGTTTCAACAGTTTTTTCTAGTGACATAAGTAATCTGTATAGTCGTTAATTTGAGAGTCACTGCTCAACCAAATTACGCAAACTAAAAATTCATGGTTTCTCTCTCTCGCGCGCATGATTCTTGAATTCACAACTACGCAGATTATCTTTGTTACTAGAAAAAATACTATTGAAACCATTTTGCTTTCTAGTATATTATAATTATATCTGGGTAGAAAATTTTATCAATGCTTTCTGTCATTGTATTTTAATTTAGCTACATTGTATCTATAATGTACCTTTGTATCAAACTGTTGGTTCAAACAAAAATTTCTGCAAGATTCTTCTTGAAACCAATAGTCTGATATAAAGGTATCCTAACAGGAAATAAAGGAAGGATTAAATATCAGCTGATATTAAGTACGAGTTATCATTGAGAGCATTATTGAAGTTCACTGTTACATGCAATAATGGCAAATTTTAATACACACACATACGCATATCTGTAGATTCAAGAATTACAAATATTTTGCATCTAATGAATGCAATTATTGTCTAATTTTCACAGCAGATTTTGCATCCCTCTAACTGTGATTGTTCTTCCAGGTGCCAAAAACCTGTATGTCATTGCAGTACAAGGTATCAAGGGCAGGCTGAACCGCCTGCCAGCAGCTGGTTCTGGCGACATGATCGTAGCAACTGTGAAGAAGGGAAAGCCTGAGCTCAGGAAAAAAGGTAAGTATGTCGTCCTTAACCTTTCGATGAAGATCCTGCTTTCTTCCATTTGTTAGAAGAATCTCAGACACAATTGATATTACAGTGATGCCTGCGGTGGTGATACGACAGCGGAAACCCTTTCGTAGGAAGGATGGGGTATTTATATATTTTGAAGACAACGCCGGTGTTATAGTCAACAACAAGGGCGAGATGAAGGGATCAGCTATTACGGGACCTGTTGCGAAGGAATGTGCAGACTTGTGGCCGAGGATTGCGTCAAACGCAAGCAGCATAGCATAATCCATTCTGTATTATTCCTTTTGTCCCTTAAGAAATAAATCTGACTTCTTATTCAGAACACACTCTTACGTTCAGCACATCTTTGAGGATATTCCTGTAGAGCCTGATCGAAAAATATTCCGCAATATTTGTAGAGTCAATGATTCTCTCAAAGAAGTCTTCAACGCTGCGACCTGGAAGAATGGCCAGCAACCGAATTTTCCACCGGCGATTCTACTTGATCCTTCTCGCAAGGATCAAGCAGATGACAGCGCCAAGTGTCGTCCTCGCGCTCATCAAGGGGACCGCTATTCACCGTTAACGTCGCGATGTCAGCAGATGTACTCTGCGTACACGCAAAAATTACAGTTACGTACGCGCGCGCACACGAGTAAGAGCGAGAGAGAAAGGGAGAGAGAGAGAGAGAGAAACTGTACAGCGTTCCATAAAAGCGAGGTTGGCGCGGATCGCGAGCCCGACGGGACTCACGAGGAGGACGCACACGTATTCTTAGGCCCTGCCTCGTCACCGTCGCCGCGGACTCCTCAACGCCCTCTCCCCCCTCGCCGTCGGCCGTTCACACGCGCACACGCGCGTACGAGGGCATACATGCGTACATGCGTGCGTGCGCCAGAGGAGAGCATCGCCAGGCGCGATCGCGGTTGGCTAGTCGGCCAGTCAGCGGAGCCACGCAGTAGTTCACCTGGGTCCATCACCAGCGGTCGTCGGTGATCGCGCGTGAGCCTCTTCACTCCGTCGGCTGTGCTCCAAGTGTGTGTACTTGTTGCTCGCGCGTGCTGCGCTTCGCTTCACGGCCGCCACCGCCGCCGCCGCCGCCACCGCCGCTGGACGGACGAACGGACGGACGGACGGACGGACGAGGGAAGGAAGCAAGGTGGGAAGAGAGAAGTGGCCGATCGCGACGATAGGTAAGGAAGAGCGGAGAGAAAGGGACGCACGCACGCACGCACGTACACATGTATGCACGCACGCACGCACCGGTGTCGTCGTGGTTCTCCTCGTTGCTTTCTCTCGTGAGCCGGTGAGAGCGCGTCCCGCGTACGCGATCGGCATATGCCGCCGCCTCCTGGTGAGTGCTGGGACGCGCGTTGCGCCGCGGTCGCCATACTCAGTCGTCGTCGACGGCGGCGGCGACCGCGGTGCGACGCCCGGTTCAACGGAGGCCGCCCTCGCGACGAGGTCGGCGGCGTCGCTTTTCTAACCTAACTTCTCATTTCTGTCATCGTCAGCGCGCGGAAGCGGAACGCTGTGGCGGGAGGGGGGACGCGACGGCTATCTCTCTCTTACGAAGGCATGCGCGCGCGTGAGTTTTTGGACAAGCTAAAAATACGGTTTTTCACGGAGCGACTATTTCGGCGCCGACGCCGGCGCCGGCTGTGCTTGTTTCCGCCTCGCGAAGGTCCCCGGGGCCTTCGGCGAGATCCTTCGCTCCCGCCGAGGAGCTCGAAATGGTCGCGCGTCCCGTCCTCCGCGACGCGAGTCATTGAGCGCGCGCACGTGCTCAGGATGAGGCGGCCGGGGAAGCCGCGAGGAGGTGCAGAAGGTGCAGCTGAGAGGAACGGCCGTCGCTCGTTGCTTCCTCCTCCTTCCTCCCTCCCTCCCACCCGCGCTATTCTCCGCCGTTGCCGCGTCGATCGAACGTGGAAATTCGTGTGGTAAACACGATGATTTACGTCGCAGTCCGCGGCGAGATTGTCTCTCTCGGATAACGATCGAGAGGCAGCCGCTCGCTCGGATATGAATGGACGAACGCGCGCGCCGTGATGAGATCGTGTGTCGCGTATTTATTTTCGTATTATCGCGCCGTATCGCGAAACCGCGACAGACGGCGGTTAGTCCTCTTCAGCGCAGAGACTTGTTTTATCGCCGAACGGCGACCTTTCTTTGCGCAATCGCGCGATGAGGTGCGGGGGCTTCGCAGAATTTCGATCTCGCGTCTGAGATGGTCTTTGATTCGTCTCTCCTCGGGATGTCGTAAGAAGCCGCTTTGGCTGTTTCTTCCCGAAAACGTTCATGCTCCGACTTGGCTCGCAAACTTTGTAGATCCATTTTGGGAAATAAAGAAGTGTAGAAGAGGTATTTTTCTGGCGGCTCGGAAGTTGGGCAATTTTTTTTAACTGTTGTTCATAATTTGGCTATTGCCTCGAAGACGATTGTGTGTGCTCCGATTTACGGCTCAGACTTTGTGAATGTACAGGGTCTTATTTTAAATGAGCCAGGCGAAAATCTCGAGAAATATGAAAGATACTAGGAAACATTTCAGATAAAAGTTGTACGGTTTTATGGTGGATATAAAACGATTGTATTATTTTGTTTTGTGATGGCGTCACTTTTGAGATATTCAATGATCATTACTTTTCTTGAACGAAAATCCCAATTTTTTATTGTGTCACTTTTTCCTACCGATTAATTTGAACAACTTTTGTCTGAAAATTTTTTTATTTGCTTAATATTTTTTTAGGAAAATTTGGTAACTTTTTCAACATTTAACTTACGATGTCTATTTGTCAAAAGAAAAAATAATATTAGATTTTTTTACTCTATTTAGTCTCAAGAATATATTATATGTCACAATAGTGCCCTAACTTTTGTTAACTTGACCTTTGGAAATTTCAAAATCATCAAATTAACAAAAGCCAGAGCGCTATTATAACATATTTTTGAGACCAAATCGAATAAAAAAGTTGAATATGACTTTTTCTTCCGACAAATGGTTAGCGAGATATTATAAGTTGAATAAGTATTATAAGTTGAAAAAGTTATCAAGTTTTCCTTAAATATCTCAAAAAATATTAGACAAATGAAAATATATTTCAGACAAAAGTTGTTAAAATTAATTGGTAGAAAAATATAATAAAAAATTGAGGTTTTCATCTAAAAAAAAGTAATGATCAGCAGTGAATATTTCAAAAGTGGCGCCATTTGTAAACAAAATGATACAGTTATTTTATGTTTCCTTTGAAACCATACAACTTTTGTCTGAAACGTTTCTTAATATCTTTCATATTTTTCGAGATTTTTGTCTGCCTCGTTTAAAATGAGACATTCTGTATGTAGGTTCATTTTCAATAACAAAGAACTGTACCAGAAGATTTTTCGCGACTTAGAAAAAGATCCTGTAGATTCAACTGAAATAGGAATATACGCATTCACATGTAAGATAATTTTGAATTTAGATAAAGCAGATAGGTTAGGTTAGGTTAAGTTAAGTTAGGATCGACGAGCCCAATTAAACGATCTTTCAGTTCTCGGTCTAAAAAATACCCGTTTAAAAGAAGCATCCACTTCCGTTCGAAATAAGCCAAGTTGATTTTGAAGTGATCTTGGAAACCGTTACCTAAAAACATTTCTATAGCGTCAACTTGTATACCTCCCTTCAGGAACTGCAATTTTTGTTTGAAACAGTTTTCTTTAGAAACAATATTCTCGAAGATAAAAACTTGTGACGCTTATTCTCTTCACGCTGTATGTCAAGGTCAAATTCATCGGCGAGATTTGTGTTCCTTAATATTATAATTGCCTAAAAAACTTCAACATTCAAGTCGCCAAATATCCTTTCTTCTTTTTTTTTATCCAAAAAGAGCCTGCATTTATAAAGTTTGAGCCAGTTCGGAGCACGGAGACGTTTTCGGAAGTTTCTCACCGCTGATTTTGCCGGATAAAGTGACGCACTCCAGGCGATTTTGAAAACACAATTTGCTCCGGACGCCTAGGTCCTGATACCGCAGTTTTCATACTTAAATAAATAAGATAAATAAATAAATAAGATTGTCGTTATCATTATCTTGAATGTAACGTCCGTCTGAGAACGCGTACTACTTCTGCGTATTTCCGTCTCTTTCTTCCTTGCAATGTTTCTGACGTTTTTTCTCTCTGTTTCTCTGACGATCTTTTCTTCCAATTTCTTCATTTCTTCCGTACCCAGAACGCAGTTGCTTTTACGCATACAACGTTAATCGGGAATAACGCTTAGGGCCGGTTTTTCAATAATGATTTGAACTTAGATTGAAGTTTAAACTCTGTTCAAAAGTATTAGACTGTTTTTCAATGGATAGATCAGAATAAAACGTAGTTTAAAGTATAGTTTAACTAAATTGTGAATGATGACCGCTTAAACTTCGTTTAATGGATTAATAAACGTCGTTGCATACACACACACACACATAATAAAGTATCTCTATTATTATATTTAAAATAATATTGTTAAATATTTGTAAAAGTATAAAATATTTGTTACGATGTTTGATGAAGAATACTATGAAGAGAGTGAAGATGAGGATGTTTCAGGGTATATAAAATATTCAGGGTATATATCAACATGAGAAAATATCATGTTGTAAGGTGAAGACCAAATCATTCTGAAACTTGGGATGAAAAAGAATTTCTTCAGAGATTTCGCTTATCCAAAGTTGCAGTTTATATGTTAATAAAAAAAATTCAAGATGCTGTTTAATCACCAACTGAAAGGTATTAATATATATCATGTAAATTAAATGACATATATAGAATATTTTTCAATTATATTATTTTTAACTAATTAACTAGTTGCAAAATATGGTGTTTACTAATAATGAATATTATACGAATAGTATAAAATTTATTTATACTGTATTTCTTCAAAAATCACAAGCTCTTTCAGTATGTACGAAACGATATTGCTAACATTAATATTTGGTGCTAGTGGATCTTTTTTGATAAGTGTAAATGTTTTTGTTGGTGTTCATAAAAGTACAGCGAGTAAAGTAATTAATAAAGTTTCAAGGGCAATTGCTCAACTTAGACCTGCATATGTAAAATACAGAAATATCGAATACAGAAGATGTTCAAAGACTTCATGAAAAGTTTTACAATATTGCAAGATTCCCACACTGAGAAAAAATTATACTAAAATTAAACAAATCTTTGTTCGAATATGACTGTGAATACATTTATTTAAATTAAACAATTATTTCCTAAAATTCAAGCAAAAAGTTTACATTCAGAGAGAGAACCTCTGTATTTTATTTTAAAAATTAGTCGCTTAACTTGAATAAATGTATTCACAGTCGTATTTGAACAAAGATTTGTTTAATTTTAATACAATTTTTCGCAGGTTGTGTAGGTGCCTTAAACTGCACTCATATTAGAATTAAATTTTCACGTATCCAAAAGTGACCCGCACAGCGAAGACTTTTCGTTACCAACTTAAGAACAACAAAGGTTTATCTAAACTGTCTTCAGCGTATGCTTGAAAAACACATGAGATGTAAAAGCAAGTTTACGGATCAAAGAAGGATCAGATATAATCTTTAGTTTAAACCACGATTGAAAAACCGGCCCTTTTAATGTTATTCGCTGGCCGACGCGAGCGTAACGTTTGGTAACAGCGACGGATCGTTTTAATTGAGCGAGAGGAGACATTGATGAGATCACGGTACAAATCAATTGACTTATTAACGACTACATTGAGCGGATCGAGTAAACCGACAGAAGAATAACTGGGGAACCGTCTTCGCTTCGCGCCGATGGAATGCGGCTAGACAATGCGAAGGCAGATGGAAATTCGGTGGGAATTTAATTTTGCGACATCCGTGTTAGCTGCCACTTTATATAATTTGGTAACGGCGCAATTATTCTCTCTTAACAACGTTGCATGAACCGCCGAATTTTGGTGACAGTTGCCAAAGTGTGTGACAGTTGTCAAATATGTTGTTAATTTTGGAGGGACAGAAAGTAGATCTTGTTTCGCGATTTTACATCACTTGAACGCTGGGGCAACTTCGTCGTCTGATTTTATCATGCTTAACGAGGAGTAAAAAACTTCTTCCCTCCCCTGACGTATCTTACAATAACGACTTGCAACACCTTAAAAGTCACATTTTGAAAATTCGATTGCGTCGACTTACGGATATGAAAATTGTTTCACGTC